CCTTTTTGTCGACTCTCCCCTAAGGATCGCCCGCTCCTCCAGATACGCCTAACTCCTCTCATGATTCCTTGAGTGTACAATCTAAGACATTGTTTCGCCTTTTGTCTGGAGTTCCAAGCATCTTGGCTTTTACATGCCAACTCTGGATTAACTACTGTATGGTGGGTTTCCCACGCCCGCAGAGGGCTTCTTTCCATCTCTCTCAGGCCTGCAGGGGGGGCAGTAAGGGGTGACTATGCTGCTGGGGTGGGGGCAGTTAGGGATGACCAGGCCGGCAGGGGTGCAGTTGGGGGTGACCTGGTTGGCAGGGGGGGCAGTTAGGGTGATCAGGCAGGCAGGCGAGCAGTTAGGAGCCAGCGGTCCTAGATTGTGAGAGGGATGTCTGAAGACTGGTTTAGGCCCGATCCCCAGGATCGGCCTAAACTGGCAGTTGGACATTACCCAAGGGGTCCTGGATTGGAGAGGGTGCAAGCTAGGCTGAGGGGACCCCCTCCACCCCCGTGCATGAATTTCATGCACCGGGCCTCTAGTATATAATAAAAGGCTAATATGCAAATAGACCAAATGGCAGAACAACCAAACAACTGGTCACTATGACATGCGCTGACCACCAGGGGGCGCACATGAAACATGACGGGCGTCAGCCATGGCAGGATGGTGGAGCAGGTGAGCGGGGGTGCTAGTCGCTATCATCAGAGCGAGCCTCTGGTGGTTACTGAAAATTCTTTGCTCCCGCGTGCCGTGGTCCTGACCAGTGCTCACACCTGCTGCTAGCACCGGCCCGCTCGCACCTGCTGCCAGTGCCGGCCCCAATCACTCCGCACCGTTAGCACATGGGAGCGGTGGTGGTGGGAGTGGGGCTGCCGGCAGACAGGGGACTGGGGGCCATGGTGGGAGGGGCCAGGCAGGGGCCCGGAGGATGGGCCAGACCCGCCCCTGTGCCCACTGCAGCCTAGCGGCCCACAGTTCCTTTCAAAGTGCACGAATTCATGCACTGGGCCCTAGTATAAAATAAAAGGACCAACCTCCCTGAAGCAAGAGAGAGAATTCTCCAGCAGTCTGCCTTTGGACTCAAACTAGAACATCAGTCTTCAGCCTTCTGGCCTACTCTGCAGATTTTGAACTTGTGAGCCTCCATAATCATGTGAGTCAATTCCTTATAAGAAATCTATTTAAATATATACACACACACATATAGGGTGGGGCTAAAGTAGGTTTACAGTTATGAGTATGCGATACAGTTTATTCTTGCATTATTTATTAATTACTGCATTGTTTTCCATACAAACAACTGTAAACCTACTTTTGCCCCACACTGTATGCATATCGTATTGGTTTTGTTTCTCTGGAGAGGCCTAATACACCCCATAGGCAGGAGAGACAGAATTCCTCTCTGGGAAAAATGACACAGTCATCTAGGGGGCTCCCCAATAAGAGAAACATCAAGATCTGACAATGAACAAATCCTGCTCACACACACGTTTCCAATCACCATTTTAGTGCTTTATTATTACCAATGAATAAACATGGTTTACCAGGCATAAGAGAAAAGCCTCTACCATGAAAAAAACTAAAGAAAGAAACTCTAAGGAAACAAATCTGAGAATATTTTTTTTAAAAATCACAGCCTAAGTCACACAAGCTCATGCCTGATAGAGGGAGAATCTCAGAAACCATTCTCACCAATCCTTAAGATGAGACTTAACTCCACCTTCCTGTTCCAAAGATCATTCTCAACAGGCACTGGTGCTTTTTTAAAAAAAAAAATTTTTTTTGTTGATTTCAGAGAAGAAGAGAGAGGGAGAGAGAAACATCATCATTGATCGGCTCCTCCTGCACACCCCACACTGGGGATTAAGCCCACAACCTGGGCATGTGCCTTGACTGGGAATCAAACCGTGACCTCCTGGTTTATAGGTCAACACTCAACCACTGAGCCACACTGGCTGGGTGGTCCTTGTACTTTTAAAATAACAACAGGCCTGCTCCAGATCCCACCATTCATGCTTGCCACCAGAAAGACTATTTCTGCATTTTGCTTCCTCTGTGGATCAGGAGTTATGGGGCATGGGTGGATATAGAAGGGATACAGGTCTTTATAGGTACAAGAAATTTACATATCCAATATATTTGTTCTCATGTGCTGATTATGGCTATTACCATTCTGCGTATATGTTTGGTTACATGTGAGCATGGCTATGTCTTCTAGGCTTCATATTATTGGACTTGAACAAATTTACCAAAATCCAGCTAATCAAAACAATTTTATAAATGCATCCTTATAAATGGGCATTGATAATGGAATAATTTAGTAATATACTGTATAGAATGCTAATAATGAAGCCATACAATTAATGTTTGTTTAAAAATTTTAGACAATCATGTACTAAATCATACACTTGACCATACACAATTTCAATTAATTCAAATCACCAATATCTTAATGGTAAGAATCTTATTATTCTGTTGAAATGTTTTGCTGTTAACATGGAAAAAGTACATCTTCACAATTTCTTTTAATGTGAAGTGAAATGTGATTTGGACAAAAACATTGTCATTAATATCCTCGCAGAGCTAAGGGAAGATATTTTACCCATAGAAGCAAAACTGGAAACTATAAAACAAGAACAATCATTGAATTGTACTAATAGGAAACCTCACACTACAGAAGCACGAATGTGCACGTGTTTGTGTTTTTCATTAAATTTGAATGCCTTCAGGTAGGTCACGCAGGTTGTAGCAGTTAGACATAGGCACTACAACTTCCTATTGTGTTATACCCAAAGCTTTACAGATTTCTGTTACCTGGAAGGTATAGTAGAAATAACAGCCGAAACTGGTTTGGCTCAGTGGATAGAGCGTCAGCCTGCGGACTGAAAGGTCCCAGGTTCGATTCCAGTCAAGGGCATGTACCTGGGTTGCGGGCACATCCCCAGTGGGAGATGTGCAGGAGGCAGCTGATCGATGTTTCTCTCTCATCGATGTTTCTAACTCTCTATCTCTCTCCCTTCCTCTCTGTAAAAAATCAATAAAATATATTTAAAAAAAAAAAAAAAAAAAAAAAAAAAAAAAAAAAGAAATAACAATGCAAGAGGGCTGTAAGGACAAAAGATAATGGTCAGAGAATATACTGAAGTTTAAGTATCCAGAAAAGAATGCTTTTTCCTAGATCACATCCATACAGAAAGTAAACTAATAACGTAGTTGTTTCTTACTACTCCCTGACACTTATTTTCCAGCCATACCAACCCAGTTCCCTAAACAGTTTCTGCTATTTTACATCTTTGCTCATGCTGTTCCTTTTGTCAGAAGTGTCCTGCTCTTCCTTCTTGGCCTAGTTAAATACTATTCATCCGTTAAAATTTCTCTCAAGTATCACCACTCCTCCTTGACCCCAGTTTTATTTTGTTGACTGAGTTGCCTAGGCAAAAAGCTCCTTGAAGGTAATAACTCATTCCACTTTATATCCCCAAAGCCTAGCCCAATACCTATCACAGAGTACACTGGCTAGTTTTGGGTCTTTTTGGTACTCACCATTTTTGCCTGAAGATCAAGCAGTTTTCGCACACGAAATGGTTTGACTAGTAAAGGTTAAAAAAAAAAAAAGAAATATTATGTATGTGGTTCAGAATAAACAGGACCCATGTGGCTCATATATATAGCTTCTTCTTACAACACATCAAGAATATAAACACCCTGTTCAGTTAAGCCATTAAGCAGATGCTGTTAGATAAAAGTACTAAAAAGCAATTCCCACAAAATCATGTCACAGAACTAATGCTAACAGTTAACTTTATAAAGGCCAATACAAATGCTAATTCCACAGAGTGAATGTAATATAACTGTAATAAAAATACTCACCATTCTCTTTTTTGGTAAGTAAATATAAGAAATGGCAGACATAAGGGCACTGTTAAAAGAAAAAAACTTTTAAAAAGAGAGAAATGACAGTGCATCTTGAACAGGACAGCAATACATTCTCCTCAAACGTAGATCTTATACTAATTAAGTAAAAAGGACAACACTGAACAATAAAGCTTCTCGTTATCATACTACACAGTAGTGATTAAAGACAACAGTTTTAAGTTGTATCCCATGATGCCATTTAAAAAAATTATTTTTGGTATATACAAACACTGCAGGCAGTCTGAAAAATAGAAAAACTCCTTCTACCTAACAAAAATTCATATATTCCTTCTAAAAGCCAGTATTTATTAAGATACAAAAATTTTATCCTAAATTCTCATGTTATTTGGTATTCAAAATGATCATTTTCAATGATCTTAATATTCCAGTGAGTGGATATAATACCATAATTTAATTTACCATTTAGCCCAAAGTTTGTCAAATAGCACAAACTCAATAAATTTATTACTTAAATTACTGAATGACTGGTTCCCTTATACCATTTCCCTTTGAGTGTCCACTTTTTGAGGTTTTATTCTAGATGAAGGGTCAGCAAACTCCAGTGCACCTGTTTTTGTAAATCAACTTTATTGGAACGGAGCCACACTCCATTAGGAAATTGAAAAATAAATTATTAAATGGGACTGAGGAAGGTAACAAAAACAAACTTTTTAAAAACAAACTTGTATTTTTGTAGTCATGACTCTAAAGTGTAAAGTCTAAAGTATGGCATTACACAGAGAAGCATCAATCAGACTGTCATATCTCAGAGGGAAGGTAGGGGCAGGTGAGGGGAAGGGGGAGAGATCAACCAAAGGACTTATATGCAAGCATATAGGCCTAACCAATGGACACAGACAACAGGGCAGTGAGGGCATGAGTTGAGGGGATGGGGGGTAATGTGGTGATAAGGACACATATGTAATAACTTAATCAATAAAGAAACTTTAAAAAACATAAATAAGATATGGCATTACATATTGCCTCTTAGCAATGGATTCAGAAAGACTCTGGACATACCTGTAAGAAGAATGAATTTAGATATAGGATCCTTTTTTTTTTTTTAAAGAGGGTGGGGAACCTTGGGTGTTTGTTTTTTTTTAATATATTTTATTGGTTTTTTACAAAGAGGAAGGGAGAGGGATAGAGAGTTAGAAACATCGGTGAACGAGAAACATCGATCAGCTGCCTCCTGCACACCCCCCAACTAGGGATATGCCCGCAACCAAGGTACATGCCCTTGACCGGAATCGAACCCGGGACCCTTCAGTCCGCAGGCCGACAGACGCTCTGTCCACTGAGCCAAACCGGCCAGGGCAGGATCCTTTTTTAAGGGAAGAATACATATTATGACCACATATGCCATATTCGACACAAAATATAACTTCCAGTAAAAAAACCCCTCATTATCTCACACCCCTAAAATATGATACATTAGTAACACTATCATATTGGGTATGAAACAGAAGCAAGTGTCACACAATCACTTGCCCTAGGCACAAACAGCATAGGAAACCTGACATCTGACATTCTCCCTTCATCCCATCTAGAAAGGAAAAACTTAGATGTACCTAGGACTTTACAACTGCCTTTCTGGCAAATACCTAACCACCATATCTGAGTCACTCCAGAGTCAGGCTCCCACCAAATTACATGAAAATGACTTTTCTGAAGTAATGCTTTTAAAAGTTAGGCTCCTGATTTCTTAATCAGGGTGATATTTGCACAAATGCATTTGGTTTATAAAAATTTATTGAGCTAATCACTTATGATACAGGCAATTTTCTATATGTAATTGTACTCCAATAAATATTTTTTTCTTTTTGGTAAGTTACTTTTTTTTTTTTAATCCTCACCCAAGGATATTTTTTCCATTGATTCTTAGAGAGAGTGGAAGGGAGGGGGAGAGACATAGAGAGAGAAATACCAATGTGAAAGAGACACATATATCAGTTACCTCCTGCACGTACCCCAGGGCTAGAGATCAATCCTGCAACCGAGGTATGTGCCCTTTATCAGAATCGAACCCGTGACCCTTCAGTCCACGGGCCAACGCACTATCCACCGAGTCAAACTGGCTAGGACAATATTTTTTTTTCTTTATATTTTATTGATTTTTTACAGAGAGGAAGGGAGAGGGATAGAGAGTTAGAAACATGAGAGAGAAACATCGATCAGCTGCCTCCTGCACACCCCTCACTGGGGATATGCCTGCAACCAAGGTACATGCCCTTGACCGGAATCGAACCTGGGACCTTTCAGTCCGCAGGCCAACGCTCTATCCACTGAGCCAAACCGGTTAGGGATAGGACAATATTTTTTTAAATATAGAAGAAAAAGAAAAAAAGTAGGCCACCTTCCCTCCCTCCAGCTGAGCAAGAAACACTCTAGTCAGAATCATGAAAACTACTCAAGTATATCACAATTGATTTGACAAACATTTATGAGTAGTTCCTCCTATTAATTCACTCATGCAACAAATATTTATTGAGCAGTGAATAAAGCAGACAAAAAGGTCTGTTCTTATGAAGTTCACAATCTATGTGCCATGTTGTGTTACCGAATACTTGGGTTATAAAAGGCTCAGTTCCTGCCTGGAAGAACTCAAGTCTATTGAATTATTATAAGAAAGGGGAAAACATGCTTTATTATTTCCCATTTTTTACAAAGTATGTGTAAAAATTCATTCATATTGCAATTAGTTCAGTTTATGAACAAAACCAACATGATGTCAAAAGTAAGGGAGAGTCAAACATACTAATCATCATTCATCCACTCTTATATACCACAGGACAAGCCTCTCCCAAGAATTTATAACCATGAGCTGGGCCCTATGTAGGTCTGCAGTTTGAATTTACACTATTGATATGACCAAGAAAACCTCAAGCAAAGAATTTAAAGTGATTCTAGCTTAGTCATACCTCCCAGACAAATCAGGTATCTGATAAGGGACTTCTATGTAAAATATAGAAAGAACACTTATGACCCAATAATAAAAAGACAAGTAACTCAATTTAAAAATAGGCATAGGATCTGAATAGACATTTCTCCAAAGATATATAAATAGCCAAGAAGTACATGAAAAGATGCTCAACATCACTAATCATTAGAGAAATGCAAATAAAAACCACAATGAGATATCACTGTATACCCACTCGGAGGGATATAATCAAAAAGTCAGATAAATAAGTATTGGTGAAGATGTGATGAAATTGGAACCCTCATACACTACTGGTGGGAAGGTAGAATGGTGTAGCCACTGTGGAAAACAGTATGGTGGTTTATCAAAATTCTAAACATAAGAGATACAGTAATTCCATTCCAAAAAAATTGAAAGCAGGGACTTGAACATATACTTGTATACCAATGTTCATTGCAGCATTGTTGATGTTAGCTGAAAAGTGGAAACAACTCAAGAATCCATCAAGAGATGAATGGATAAACAAAATGTGGCAGATACATGCAATGGAACATTATTCAGCCATAAAGTTCTGGCAAATGCTAAAACATGGATGAACCTTGAAGACATTATGGTAAGTGAAAGAAGCCAAACATGAAAGAACAAATATTGTATGGTTTCATTTATAAGAGGTAACTAGAATAGGCAAATTCACAGAGACAGAAAGTAGATTAGAGGTTATCAGGGGCTGGGGGGGAGGATAAAGGGGGAGTTACTGCTTAGGGCAGTGATGGCGAACCTATGACACGCGTGTCAGAGGTGACACGCGAACTCATTTTTTTGGTTGATTTTTCTTTGTTAAATGGCATTTAAATATATAAAATAAATATCAAAAATATAAATCTTTGTTTTGCTATGGTTGCAAATATCAAAAAATTTCTACATGTGACACGGCACCAGAGTTAAGTTAGGGTTTTTCAAAATGCTGACGTGCCGAGCTCAAAAGGTTCGCCATCACTGGCTTAGGGTAATGAAATAGCTCTGGAAATAGTAGTGATATTATACAACACTGTGAATGTAACTGAAACTAAAGAATTATATATTTAAGAATACTCAAAACTATCATAGGCCCAGCTGGTATGGCTCAGTGGTTGAGCATTGACCTATGAACCAGGAGGTCATGGTTCAATTCCTAGTCCGGGCACATGCCTGAGTTGTGGGCTTGATCTCCAGTGGGGGGCATGCAGGAGGCAGCCGATCAATGATTCTTTCTCATCATTGATGTTTCTCTCTCTCTCTCCCTCTCTCCCTTCCTCTCTGAAATCAATAAAAACATATTTTTTAAAAAACTGTTGTTATCCTACATAATAAAAGGCAATTATGCAAATCAACCGAATGGTGAAACGACCAGTCGCTATGATGCGCACTGACCACCAGGGGGCAGATGCTCAACTCAGGAGCTGCCCCCTGGTGGTCAGTGCACTCCCACAGGGGAAGCACCACTCAGCCAGAAGCCAAGCTCACGGGCAGGAGCCTCTCCTGCCTCTGCAGCAGCGCTAAGGATGTCTGACTGACGGCTTAGGCCTGTTCCCCGTGGGGAGCGGGCCTAAGCCATCTGTTGGACATCCCCCGAGGGCTCCCAGACTGCAAGAGGGCACAAGCCAGGCTGAGGGATGCCTCTCCACCGAGTGCATGAATTTCACGCACCAGGCTTTTAGTCTATAATAATAAAAGTGTAATATGCAAATTGACCGAACAACTGAACAGGAGAATGACCGCCCGGACAATCTTCCGGATGACCACGCTATGATACCCACTGGTGCCAGGCCAACCAAGGAGGATGTGATGCAACTGGTTGGGGGCCTGGCCATTGCCCCATGATCACCCTGCAGAGGGAGGCTCAGGCCACCAGTGGGCGGGGCAATCGATCAATTGGGGGGGCCTCCACCATCACCCCAAAGAGGGAGGCCCAGGCCACTGACCAGCGGGCTGCGGTGGGTGGGTGGGGCCTCCCTCTGCTGGGGTGCGATCAATAGCCAGATCACCCTGCAGAGGGAGGCCCAGGACATTGGCCGGCAGGGCAATCAATTGGGGGACTCCATGAT